AAATGTTAGTGTAGCCGGCAATAAATGTTAGTGTAGCCGGCAATAAAACCTGCATCCCACAAATATGCATTTTTAAAAGCACCACCACCTGGCCTGGTGGAATTAGAGTTCTGTCCTATTGAGCATTAGATTGGATTAGTATTCCGGTTAAAACGTCATTGTCTCCCTATGTGACACATTTTATGAACAAACTGCTTGAAAACTGTGCCTGCAGTGTTTGTAATCTTTGTAACTGCAAGACTCCTTCCATCAGCAAGGTGACTCCTATATATTTGTTTTATGACAATTCTGCTTACTGGCTATGGTGGAACTGCTATTAATTTTAGACTTGTTAATGATATAGTTATATCCTTTAGCCTTAATGGTGGAAAGCATTGATAATTTCTTTTTATCTCAGGTACCTTCTTGAACAAGATTTCCCAGGAATGAGGATTGGACCTGAGCCAACTACTGATTGCTTCATTGCTGTAATGAATGGGGATGTAGAAGGAGTGGTTCCTGGAAATGCTCTGGTGGTGGATCCAAAAAAGCCATTCCGGAAACTTAATGCTTTTGGCAATGCCTTTTTGAACAGGTTAGTGCACCTTCACTTTATAAGTTGGGGAATATGAGGTATGGCAAGCAAAATCAAATTTTGATTTCTCAAATCTGACTACATTTCAGCATTTCTGCTGGGCTAAGCAGCAGAAATCTCTCGAACACTTCAACTTTTGGTGCCTGTTTTGGAGATTGGCAGTAGAGGAAGAGGGCATTCCTTATTTGAACTTCTCTGGCAGCCATTCTCTCCTTGCCTCAAGTTTAGTTATTTTATCCATGTTTGGGTCAAAGCTGTAATGAGTTCAGGAGCTATGTGGCTCTGGCAGAGCTCACACTGGATGTCACTGAGCAGGTTACTGCTAAGCAAGTGCTGTTTCATAGCTATAAAATAAACCGAAGCATTGTGGATCCTGAACATCTAAAGCAAAAACAGAAATTGCTGGTGAATCTCAGTCCCGTACTCTATCCTGAAGAAGGATCACTGGACTAGATGTTAGCTCTGGTTACTGTCAGCAGATGCTGCCAGATCTAGCTTCTCCAACAATTCCTGCTTGATAGCATTGTTGAGGATACCTTCTGTCACCTGACTGATGATTGTGTATAGCTTGATGGAGTGATAATTGGCTGCGTTGGATTTGGGCTGCGTTGGATTTGTCCTGCCTTTTTTATACAAGATATAATGTGGGCAATTTTCCGCATGGTTAAGTGGATGCCTCCTCTTGGATAGAGGTGCTACCCTTTTCCAACAGCTAAAGAGGCTCATCCATGCTGAACTAGCTTTTTTCACTTTGAGAAGCTGATGAAGAAACGGATAGAACTCCTCAATCCGATCAGCCCAGATGTCATTGAATGACATCGCAAATTTGAAGGGCTGGATAGTATGATCCTAAACCCTATCTCCTTTTTTGTCTTCTGTGCATAAAGTACTGTAAGCAGATGGTTGTGATGTGACACCCTATAGTTGAATGACTGACGGTATTGCAGATATAGACCTAAATCCAACTATAACTTTCCTGTCACTTTGGTTATAAAGATGCCCTTGGTTTGAATCTAATTGGCAATATAACTTCAGTGCTTTTAGGATTGCTTTGTAATTTCACCATTTTGTTTATTTTGTTCAGGCTTTAGAATTGATCTCTAATCTTTATTAGAAAGCTTGACTCATTGTTTCAAAAGTGTTATTTGTGTGGTTTAGGACCATAAGATGAGAGGAGAAGTAGGCTGTTCAGCCCATTGTGTCCAATCTCTGTGAAATCATGGCTGATCTAATAATCCTGAATGCCACTGTCACTTTCCAGCCTTATCCACATAACTCTTTATCTCCTGACAACAGATATTTTAATCAATCTCTGCTTTTTGAATGTGCTTCTACAGCCCTCTGCAGTAATGAATTCTGTAAAATCACTACCATCTGAAAAGGAATTCCCACTCCTCACTGTTGGCCCTAATGGAAGACCCCTTACATTTAAGTTATCCTTTTGGTTCTAGACTCTCCAATAAGGGGCAACAACATTTTAGGGAGCTTGACAGGATTGATGCTAAGAATCTTGTGTTTCAGTAAAATCACCTGTCAGTCTAAGCATGACCTCTCCTATGCACTGTGGCATGAAGGATAGAGTAGTTGAATATTATTTGAATGGCGAAGAGTAGCTTTTCTGCAGCATAACAGGGATCTGTGAGTCCTTGTGTATAAATCTCAAAGCTAGCATCCAAGATAGACCTTAGGATTAGGGTAAAAGTTCGGCACAACACTGGGCTGAAGGGCCTGTGCTGTGCTGAGCTATACTGTTCTATGTTCTAAGTCGTGGGTAATGCGGAAAACCGAGTAAGTTGAACACTTCAAGTGCTGTTAGGGCAGGCAGCACATGCTAACCGGCCTGCAATGCCATTGTCACAGCAGAATAAAGAAAATAATCTCTGGTCATTATTTTAAGAGTCACCTGTTTGAACTGGATTTATTCTAGGAGAACTTTCTTTTTTCTCCTTGCGTTAGTCTTCAGAACACATCCTCAAAGTGATGGAAGCAGAGTCCTTGAATGTTTGTTTTGAAACCAGAGATTATTGATAACTAAGTGAAAGGTTGTCATGGTAGACGGGAATGTGGAACAATCTGATCAGCCATGTATGGTAGAGCAGGCAAGGGACCCAAATTCCTAATTTGTGTTTGTATTTGTTTAGCACACTTTTCCCTTGAAATTCCTCTTTGATCTGATGTCAATCTTTGGATAAATGTAACTTGATTCAATATCCCGTACTGAGACTTTATTGGCTGAAAATGTATGATTACCCAGACTTTGATATTGTTAAACACACTTTTTTTTTCTGTGATTCAATATGGCTGGGTCTGGAAATTTGGACCTCGTGCACCCTTTTTTAAAAAAAATTTATACTAAATTGCTTGAAAAGAAATCAAATTGAAAGTTAGAAAACTCCAGTTTTAGATGGAGACAGTGAATCACTTGAATGTAATGGAATGTAATTTTTAAAATATATTTTGCTAGTTGCTGCTTTTTAAACTGGCCATAGATTTTTCAGATTGCTACCTTGTCTCCTGAACCCTTTTTTTTAAATTCCCTATGTAAAAGCTGCATTCTAGTTATCTTTATCTTAATCTGTTCTGTTAATTTCCTCTAAAATCTGAGTCCTTGATCAATGCCTTTGTTTGAGATGAATTCCCAAGTCTGTCTTGTCTTTTGACAGAAACGCACATTTGAGCATTAGTGCACCCCTATTCTAGAGCTTGTACCACATACTTCCCTCATCAGTCCAAGTGTATCTGGTGTAGTTTAATCATGTCTGTTTGGCATTTTATCCAATTCATCTTCAATTTCTGAGCTGCTTCCTTTTGTGATTGACCTTCTGGATTCAGTGCCATCTGCAAACTTGGCTCTTGTGTTTAAACTTTATGAATTAGTCATTCACCTGAATGAGATGTTAGAGTCAGAGACATACAGCATGGCAACAGTCCCTTCAGTCCAACTCATCCATGCCAACCAGATATCCTAAATTAATCTAGTCCCATTTGGCCCATATCCCTCTTGACCCTTCCTATTTATATACCCATCCAGATGCCTTTTTAAATGTTGTAATTGTACCAGCTACTTCCTCTTCCTGTGGCATCTCATTCCATACATGCACCACCTTCTGCATGAAAATGTTGTCCCTTTGAAATCTTTTCCCTCTCACCTTAAACCTATGCCATCTAGTTTTGAACTCCCTACCTTGGCTATTCATCTTTTCCATGCCCTTCATGACCTTTCATACCTCCTAAGGCCACCCCTCAGCCTTTTTCCAGGGAAAAGAGCCCCAGCCTATTCAGTTTCTTGCTATAGTTCAAACCTTCCAACCCCAGCAACATCCTTGTAAATCTTTCCTGCACACTTAAGTTTAACAACATCTTTTCCATAGCAAGGAGACTAACTTCTGTCCCTTCTGTCCTGTGTACTGCCTGACTATGACGAATGAAATGTTATATTCTGATTTGGCCAGTTTCTCCTCTTAATCTATTAATCTGAATTCCCCCAGTCCTTAATATGCAGCTTAATCCATTTACCCTTTTACCATTTTGGTGCTAGATGTTTGGTTTTTTGTTGGCATTCTGCGGTGTTCCTAAAATTAAACAATTCTGAATAATTCCAGGGTGGATCTGTCATCATTTAAAGTGTTCCCTTTTTTTGATTGGTTTAAGCAGTGTTTTCAATGTTGCATTTATCGCAATAGACGCTTTTTTTATGTAAGTTACTAACATCTACATGCCAATAATTTTGAAAGGACTTCATTTAATGAGCAATAGCCAGAGATTAGACTCACCTAGTCTGCATGGCATTCCGTCACGTGCCATGGATTTATTCCCCATGTTGGGAGCTAAGGAATGGATTGGTACAGGGACAGTGGCAAAAGAAGATCAAAGTTTTTTTTATGAATGTTCATGCAGGCAGTGATGTGCGGATAGACTGACTTTCATTTTAAATTGTGCTTGTTAGACCTTTCTGATTAACTAAGGTGAGTTATGGCTTTTAACTTTTTGAAAACTTTTTCATTGGCTTTCAAACAGTTCCATTGCTAAACTTTTCTTTTACTGATTTGTTGTTTTTCCCTCAATAGTTGTAATCTTTATACATTTACAGAAAAGATTTGAGTTTGGACAATAGTTTTCCTTATCTTCACTTGCCTTTCTCAGGCAATTGAAAAAGACTAAGGTTTTAGAACTAAACTTAACAATTAAAATAAGGGTATTTGAATTGAATCGAGTCTGCATGACCTGTGGAAAGTTGTTTTCTTTGCCTCTAGTTAACTGAAACTAACTTCACTAAAATGTGATTTACATGTAGTGTGAGTTGGAAAAATGGCGATACTAAGTATTTGGTAGGTGGGGGAGAAAGATTTGAAAGCCATTGAGATGAGAGCACTAAAGAATTGCCTCTTTGAACTGAATGATCTTCTCTCCTGCTTTTAAGATCAAATGACCTTTTGCAGACATGGAAAATAGCTTAAACTTTAAATAGAATTCAAAAATGTTAACTTACAAACAAATATTCAATTACTGAAGTTGTGATGCCTTCTCTTCCTTTTTTTTTCTTTGTTTTGGTTTGAATGCTGACTGGCTATTGCCTCCAGTTTTCATAAACCAATCATTTTACTACTTTCCAAAATGTATATTGAAGCCCTTTTTATGTGAAATTTCTAGTTGTCCTGAATTCTGAACATTTCTAGGCCTTTTTTAGCTTTTTGGGAATTTAATGAACACCTGGATACATTGTTTTCCCCTTGCAGAAATTCTGTTAAATGTTGTGGAGGTCAGTCAGAATTGCAGTCTTAACATTATTTCAGAGCTTTGAGATATTCTATTGGTACTTTGATTCCAAATGCTTCAATCTTTTTGATTTATAGCACTGTTCATTTTTTTTCCTCACTCAGTCTCTGTTTATCTCTGGCCAGATAATTGACCAAGGATGAGAGATAATTGATTCTCCATGTAAATTTAGCAGTAATTGACTCCAATTTAATTTGGCAGGTAATGGCAAGAAGCCAGGAATT